TATGTAACTTGGCCCATTAATTCGGCAAACGTAAAGAGGCTAGTTACGTTCGACAACCGGTGCCTTCGCAATTTTACGCATATCTGGTGGGAATACACGGCCCGTAGCCTAGTGGTAACGAGCTTGTCTCCTAATCTTGCGGCACGGGCTCGAATCCGCGTAGAGGTGGGCGTGCTCGCGGTATACTCAGCCGACGTGCGACTGGTGGTGGTCGCCCGGCAGCGAAGCGCCGTTGCGGCGTACAGCCGACATACTTTTTATTATCGGGTGAGCAATGGATGTGTTTTCGGTGCAGGAATAACGCATGCACCGCTTAGCACCGTTATATCACGCATCTGGCTCCGATGGCTGTGCCACGTGTTGCGCATGCCAGCCCACCGATTCCCGTGGCGTGCGTTGTTTGGTCGCCGGGGATGTGGATAGAAAATGAGGAGGGGTGGCTATGCTTTGACTTGATCAAGAGGAATGAAGGCCCTTACTTCGAAGTTGACCTCGGTTGGAGCGTCTCCTCTGCCTGGTTGGGCTCCGAAAGACGATGAACACTGACTGAATACGCTTGTTGACATGCCAAGGCGCCTGACCTCAGTGGCGTTTATGTTATGAGTTTCTTTGTCTTTCCCCCTTCCGCTTAGTCTCCCTTTTTACCCTTAATCTCATTTACTAGGCATTATGTAACTCATATTTTGCGGCACAGTATCCGGGTTATCTATCCAGAACGATGTCCATCCGTTACTGGTGACGGCGGGCGTTCCTCTGTTGCATGTTTTTCTCTTGCAATCAATTGCGGCACAATATCTGAGGTGTTTACAACCTCTAGCTAACGTGTATTAAATTTTTCCTTATGTTCGACCCTGACGAACAGGGGGTGAGTCTGATTATTGCTTCTCGCCTTGTTGGGAACCATGAGGACCCCTCCAAATCCCGTCCCATAAAAATCACCTGTCAAAAGGAGGACGAATGCCACCGCATTTCTGATGAACCTTTTATCTCAAAGGAGAAACTTTCTACGTTCTAAGAGAGTGCCGTTACAATGAAGAGAGTTATCGAGGAATTACGTACGCGTACAGCGAACGGGATAGCACACCTACGAATTGAAGATTTTCGGGTAGTCCAAGGAACTCCGGGAACCCGCTGGAGACCAGTCCTCATCATACCAGCAATTTAAGATCGAAACTCGGATTACGCGCAATTCATGGGATTGTGCGCAGCTTGAGAAACAAGCTAGATGAGATCCATCACTTCATCTCACGGTATCATCCGGATTTGATAGCTTTCACTGAGACTTGGTTATCTTCGACATCCAAGACCCGGAGTTGCGTATCCAAGGATATCAAATTGCTTGGGCCCATCGTACCCAGATGGTAGATCTGGGTGTTATTCTTTACTGAAAGCCGGACCTCAGGGTACATATTTTGGTGACTATCAGTGACACTAACTGGCTGCGAAGCTTTTGGTCTCGAGTTCACAACCGGTACAGGTCCCTGCTTGTCGGCGGTCTGCGGAGCCCAATTGGCATCAGAGCCCTGCTTGTTGAACTCCACAAGGAAGTACAGAGGAGGCAAGGACTGTCTGCTAATAGACGACTTACGGGCCCCAAGTGTTGGTTGCATCCTAGCCCACAGTGACCTCTCTTCCGAGCCTTTTGACAGTTTTGCTGGAAACCGTCTTGGGGATTAACCTGATTCAGCATGTTTCAACTCCTACTCGGGTACTATTGGGCCAGTCGCCGCACATCCTCGACCTAGTGCTCATACCTACAATCTCTGGTTTCTCCACCACCCGTTTGATAAAAGCGATCATTGTGTTGTATCCTTACTGTGGGCGCGATCTCTCACTGTTAACGACAAGTAAGTGTATCGTGGGAATTTCGGAAGTGCCCATCTCTCAATTCCAAGACAGGTTGCCATCGCGTTCGACCACAGTGTTCCTCAACACATAGAACTCGAGGATGCATGAGATCAGCTGTACTTTAAAATGACATCCCTTATTGGGAATATCATATCGGTTTCCGGAAACGGACCCTTCTCCGATTCTCCCTGGATCGATCGAGTACTGAGGTTCCTGATAGTTGAAAGGAGCAATTTATGGGCCATTCTAGCTTAGCCAGTCAGCTTCTGCCTATCTCGGGTACAAAACTGTTAGGAACCTATGCACTGAAAAAACGTGAGAAGTGACAGCCTTATGGACTTTGTTTGGCTAAACAGTCAATAACTGCTTCTAAACCGCTTTTCGCTTTTGTAAGACGAAGTACTAAAATTGGCAATGGTGTTTCCGCCCTGTTTTCCTGTTAGGATGACGTTGTACTCTACGACGATGATGCTAGAACTGAACTACTTGCCTCGCAATATCTTTCAGTTCACTCGACTGAGATACCGTTCCTGCGTGAATAATCACCTCAACTCCCTTCTCCCTCTGTACCTGTGTCCATGTTAATCAATACAGAGAGGCTGCCTAGAGACCAGTTGTCTCGGTTGGCAATTAGCTATGCCACATGAAAGCAAACTTGCTGCTAATAACATCTGGTGGATGTGCGACTAGTCATCATCATCATTATACACATCAGCTAGAGGTGGGAAAACACCTCCGCTATTGTGCCGCAATACATGAAAGAAATACATACATACATACATATAATACAATACACAAAGGAAAAATAGATACAACAGTTGCATGCCAGCTGAGCTACCAGCAACGGATAGGCATCATTCCGGTAAGCTTCCAGCCAGCTACTAGGCAAAAAGAAATTTTTATTATTATGTTTTACCCTAGGAAATGAGATCGTAGATAGAGGGGGAGACTAAAAGGGATGGGGAGGGACAATGAAACTCACAGCAGGAACGCCACTGAGGTCGGCTCCTTGCCATGTCAGCAAGTGTATCCAGCCAAACGTGTTCACCGTCTTTTGGACCCCAACCAGGGAGCCGTGAAGCTCCAAATGAGGCTAGCTCCGAAGTGATGGACTTCATTCCTCTGGACCAAGTCATCGCTTGGCCACCTCTCCTCTTCTTCCACCCACATCCCCGGTGAGCAAACAACGCACGTCGCAGGAGTCGGTGGGCTGGCATGCGTGGCCGAGCCATTGTGCGACTAGTGATCTTCAGTTGTGTTCAGTGAGCGCTTGTTTTATTCTCATACCAGTGTATTTTGCTACGTTTAAGTGCACTCGGCCTCACCAGTTGGCGGGTCTCTATGCGCCCAGCGTCGCCGCCTGTGTCCACAAAACGCACTTGCAGATAGGCGCATGAAAATTCATGCTCTTGCTTCAAATCTGTCGGTACTTTTGGACGCAGCCTCCAGCGGCAACTGATCGTGATGTGGTCGATTGGCGTCCATGGCTAGTCCGAGGCTGGTGCGCATCATGTCACCCTCTGGCAGGTGCTGCGTCGGAAGTTGTTGCTCGTGAGAAACAGATTAGCATCTTTTTTACACGTGAATCAACCGCTCACCATTATTATTATTGTAGTCATCATGTTGGCGGTCCAGACGCAGCTCATCAGTATACAGTATTCCAACTTCAGTGTTCAAATTACCAGCTAGCGCTAGAGTATCCGTACTTCTTCTATGACGGACTTCGTTCAGTTGGTGATAGCAATCATCTTCCACCGAGTTACTGATATAGTCTGTGGGATTGGTCAACATTTACGAAGAGACACCTGTTGGCTTCACGCTACTCCAAAGCTTTGGACGAGCCGACTAGTCGAGCGGCGTACATTGTCGGCAAGACAGAAATGCTTTCGATTGTATGTGAACCGACTATGCAATCGAGGTGGATGAGGACCAAGAATTTGGGTTTTGAAAACGAGTCTGGGATAAAATTGAGAACGGTCAATACAGCCGAAAAGTTGGCGAATAGGAAAAGTGCGCAGTTCTGTCTTCACTCTTATTCTAACAGCGCAGGTGGAGCGCCGTCGACTGTCCTGTTCGACGGCCAGAGCATCAAAAAACTATTGTCTTGCGTAAGCAGGATATTGTCAAATTTCCAACGTATGAGCGGTAGAATTATTGTCTTCAGTCAAATCCTTCGGTTCAGAAACCTAACCACAGGGCAGCGCGAATTTGTCAGTGTGCTACAGGATTCAGTTGTAAAGAATGAGAAGCTCCTCTCATTCTAACTCACACCCTGGATCGCGAGGTAATTGCGTTTGTCTGGTGTCTAATCACAGAGCAATATGGTATGAGTGATTCTGAAGCTGCAAGAAGTGCCGCGCAGCACAGCTTAATGGATGCTTGAAGGATATAAACCATCGCACTATGTTGCGGTCCAGTCTCGTTCTGATGGCAGTAGAAATACAAATTTAGATGGATGGTGACCAGAATAAAAGAATGTAGTTTTCGTGCTTCATGTTGAGGTTGAAGTTACGTACATCTTGCTTCTTCACCGCACTTGGGTTACACCGACTTACACAGAAACTAAATCTTAACCTGGATAAAAGGCATTCCACTTTGTTTACTTTTCTCAGTTCTGCTGGACGTTTCCTCGTCCATTTCGCATGTTTATTTTCTTTCATATTTTGTGTTCGTTTGATATCCTCGGTGTGGCTGCGTATGTTGTGGGTGTTGACAAAGCGCCTATTTGCCGAAGGCCGTTACCTCGTATATACTGGCTTCTAAAGACAGTTGGTCGTTGCTTGGGGAGTCGGGGTACACGGCCCTCTTGACTGCTACACTCAAAGAGTGGTTCGATCCAATTGGTAGCTGGCTACGGTCCAGCCACTGCCTTATGTACGTCTGGTACGCATGATTCCCCTCATAGATAGATAGGAATACTGCTGTTGTACTTGTTGAAGGAGTGTGGGCCGTCTCCGTTGACGAAATGTGGCTCCCATCCACGTGCCTTCCGGTCTTATTCCTTCGGATTTACACTGGCTATGGGGTGTGTGGTTGGAGCTGTGGGTGGTGCAGCGCAAGCCACCCATGGTCCCTCTGTAGGCGCGGGCGTGCTGTGGCTGTCCGCATGGAAGCCATACTGACAGTCAAATCCTGTCAACCTACACCTTCTGATGTGCACCTCAATTTTCTGCTTCTCTTGTTTCAGTGCATTGACACCGTTTGGCATTCATAGCGGTCAGGAGATGGACGCGGTAGTATTTTTTTCATTTGCTAATACTATTCTGCTGCTAGACCGCTACTTTGCCGCACATAATAAACTTCAACGATGATGAGCTCCATAAAACATGTTTTGCAAGTTTCGAACACATGCGACGCAAAGGAAAGCTGTGCGATATCACGTTGATTGTATGTTCACGTTTGTCACCATACTTTGATCTTGAGCAGTCGGAATCGAAACGATTTGCTGCACACAAAATAGTACTAGCAGCGACAATCCCATTTTTCAACGGGATGTTTCTCAGCAACATGTCCGAGTCGAACAAGAATGAGATTTCCATTTTGGGTGTTGATGCTATGTAAGTTTTATCTACATGGCTTTTCAATGATTCCATTTCCATCAGTGCCCTAGAGGCTTTCGTAGGATTTGCATACATCGGTTCAATTCAGATCACTCCGTCGAATGTGCAGTCGCTGCTGATAGGAGCAAGTTTTCTACAAGTGAATAGTATCCGCAACATTTGCTGCAAGTACATTGAAGAAAGGTATGTTTTTCCAATACGATTGATGCAAATCTCTGTCTTGAATAACTTTTTCGCCTAAGATTTTTGCTTAAATTTTTGTCTTGATGTCTACATTCCATGGTCACCTGTGTCTTGTCCCCATTCACTGACCGATGCATTACGCCACTACTTGTCCAGCTTTTTCATTTTCACCATTGTTATTAGTTCGTTTCACCTTTCAGACTGGAGTTCACGCTTGTGTTTGGCTGAGGCTCTACAGATTTTCAGCGTAAAACGTGTCAGGTGTTATCTGCATTGCAGTGAAAACTGCAACGTAGCTGTCACGTGGATACCGCTTAATCCTTGCATGATAGACAATTGCTTGTGACAGTATTCTTTTCACGAATCTGATGATATCGCCTTACTTGGTGACGATCCTCAGGGTATGCAACTCATTCTGGATCGTTTGGCGGTTGAAGCATCTAAGTATGGCATGAGCTTCGCCCCATCGAAGTGTAAAGTACTGCTCAAGGATTGGCTTTCACCTGCACCCGTACTCACTCTCCAAGGTGCACAACTTGAACAGGTAGATAGTTTCGTCTACCTTGGGAGCTGTGTTTCCGCTGACGGCACAATCAACAAAGAAGTTTCGCTTTGTATCGCTAAAGCTCGATCAGCATTTGTCAATCTGAGGCACTTGTGGCGTCGTCGCGACGTCTCATTCTCACTAAAGGGCCGAGTTTACGGCGCGTCCGTTCGCTCAGTATTGTTGTACGGGAGCGAATCCTGGCCGATTCGCGTGGAAGACATGCGTCGTCTTTCTGCGTTCGATAACGGTTGCTTAAGGAGGATCGCTCGTGTTCGGTGGCAACATCGAGTTACCAGTAATGACGTTCGACGTCGCGTCTTGGGGAATGCAAGTATTCCTTTCAACAAACTGGTTTTGTTGCGCCAGTTAAGATGGCTCGGTCATGTTCTACGCATGGCACCTGAGCGTCTACCGCGTCGCGCTCTATTCGCTCCTCAAGGACCTGGCTGGAAGCGACCGCGTGGTGGTCAGCCTTCCACTTGGCGGCAGCACATGAAATCGCTGACGTCGTGTCTAGCCGCTGTTGGACCCGTACGTCTTCCAGGATGGGGACCCAAAGATGGCGAGTGCCAATGGCTTAGGACACTTGAAGACATGGCCCGCAACCGGAATCAATGGAAGAATTGTGTACAGTGTTGTGTTGATTCACATGTTTAATTCTACAAAAATTGAAAATGACAAAAAAAGAGAAAAACCGGCGTGTGACAAACAAACTAAAAATGTTTTGTTCTGTATTTTTGTCAAAATATTCCATTTTCTTGCGGCATATTAGCTGAAGTGTGTTGCCCACCTTCAGCTAGCATGCCATGACGATTATGACGCAATGACTGTCTCTTATACACTGATTTCCATGGTTTTCTTGGCTCTATGTCTGGTTACTAGACTGTTGAGATTACGCATTCCTTTCCGTGCATGTGCTTAGAGCCTACATTTCGAATGATCTTTACCAGGGTAAACTTAGCAGACATCGCCAGAATTTTATTCAGTGTGTTTTCATCTTATCGCATTTGCTTTGTACTACCAAAGTATGACGCACTGATTTTTCTCCAGCAATTCGTTTGCTACTGAAAATGTTATTTATTTGCTGACTGTTTTCTTCCATCCAATGGATGTTAGAGGCACAGATAGCTCCCACCATTTAATATTCGCGAAGAGTGGGTTTGTCTCTGCTTTCCTCTCTCAGTCACTGACCCATCGTTTTCTCCTTCCGTCACATGTTTTTCTCACAGTAGGACCACCAAGATTTTACCCGGTTTCCATACTTATTCATCTCGTCAGACTTTCATGGAACATTGAACTTACAGCTCACGTCCGTTCATTTCGTGATTTTGCGCACATACTCAACTGTCCGGTCTCAGTTGTCACCAGCTTTCTCTTTACGCGGTCACATTCCTTTTAGAGTCTATCGCTGTCATAAGTCAACTTTTTGGCTCTACTTTTCCAAGTATTAGCGAAAGGAGTTTCGCGTCGCTTCATACTGGTTATTTGTGAATCAGTAGGCTCTCGGCCTTCGACAACACATGTTTGCGGCGGATAGACCGTGCGTGGTGGCATCACCTGGTTCGCAACGATGAAGTCCGGTGTTGTGTCTAGGGAAACATGAGTCCTCCGCTTGATCGCCTTGTTGCGTTGCGTCAATTGTGGTGGTTTGTCTGCGTCCTACGCATGTCACGCGATCGTTTACAACGACGCACCTTATTTGCTCGCACGTGATTAAAGTGGGAGTGAAGACGTGGAGGTCAGCCAACCACTTGGCGGCAACCCATGAAATCGCTGACCTCTTCTCTCGCCATCATCGGCCCTGTACATCCTCCTGGTTGGGGGCCCGAGGATGAGTACTGCCAATGGCTAGACACACTTGGTAATATGGCGCGGAACTGGAATCAATGGAAGGACTACATTGAAATGTTTTGAGCACTGGGATTAAAGCTATACCATTCAAAATGCCAAAAAAAGAACAAAATGGCGTGTGAAAACAAAACAACCAAAAAGCCCGAAATATCTGTTCCCTGACAATTGTGCTTTTTATTTTTTATTCCTCATGGTTTTCCGATGGCTAAATGTCTATTTGTATACTGATACAAATATATTTGTGTATGAATGGACGCACTAGCCATCGCAACATGACCGAGTCTTGACGTAGTACAGTCGGTTACTAGTCTTTGTAATATATTTAGCTAATTGGATGAAAGTTTCCAACTTCCCTAAGAACCGGACAGGTCATTCGTTAGGCGTCCAGCAAAAGTATTCCCTGCATTCCTTTTGTTAGCAGTTTGGAATGGTCGATGGCATTTTTGCTCATTTTTCAGCGATGGGGGACGCCATTCTACTGATCATTAATTCGGTTGGACTGATGCAGAGGACGAATACCACGGCTTTTCTCTAATGATGGGAAGATGCAATCCTTGCTTATTGGTTTACGGCTACTTGTCTCAAGTGAGACTCTTCCTGGTCATTAGGTTAAGCCCCTCTAACACTCACAGTTGAAAGTTGTCCCTGTCTTATCATCCACCACAGTCGAACCACATGCGCGGCTAGGTTTAATTTCTAGGGTTGTGTGTGATTAGCCTCATTTCGATTCCCGTGGAGCTCTTTAATAATAATGATAGAAAAAGACATTTTTCCGCATTGCTCGGTACAGCCCGCGGTAACAAGTTTGGCCATAACAGGACATTCAGCTGGAAAATTGTCGCAAAAGAAAGTAGGCATCACGACAGTTGACAAAGGCACTAGCAGTAAGTTCATCTCATTGGTATATGCGACGGTATGCACATATCGTGTGGGTGCTAGGACGTGTCATTAGCCCACGAGACACCGCAACCAGATTTTTCCCTTCTATTTCCGTTCATTTCCACATTGTTCTCGTGTTGAGTGGCGTGGAACCCTTAACTGACTTCATCGTTTGTCAAACAGAGGCCCAATGCTCCTCAGAACTACAGCGTAAATTTACTGGAATACAATGCTTCGCCAGGATGAAGCAAGAGGCAGTGACTTTATTTAGTGGCGAGTCACATCCGCCACGTCACAATGTTGTTAAACGGATATATGTGGTTTTTTATAGGGAGATCACTTGCCAGGCGAAAACCCACCACGTCCTGGAACGCTACCGCCTAACTATTTGCTGGAACGGGAAGATTCCGAACCACCCAGCTGGCACCACGAGGAAGTTGTTCGGCAAGGGAACCTGCCTGCTAATAGAGTGGCTCCAATAATACTCCGCGTGAAACCGTGGACAAAGATTTGAGAGCATCTCTGGCTAAAAGGACCAAGTTTCCCTATCATAGAGTAGGACAGCCCTCACTGTGGCTTCGTCACATTAGTTTCAAACCGACAGAAACCTCTTTTTGACGCCAAAGATGTCGCAGATTTAGGAGTGCAATTCCGGCTTTTACATTACGTGGACTCCCTTCAGTATTCACGTACCGATGGCTGTTGATACAGCTACCAATTCAGGTGAATTGGTCAAGCACTTCACTTTGCGTATTATCAACTCTTAAGGCGTTCTAATGTAGCTGATGGTCTTCCAAGAACGCTACACGTCGAAAGTATGAAGCGTGTCGAGTGATTACCCAACCTCAGAGAGCTTATTTCACTTTGGCCGAGTCACTTTGACATTGTCAAACTGCAAGACGATATGATCCGCATAATCCAGTTCAACCGATTTTCCGCGAGGGAGCATCTAAACGCCTGCACTGCGAGCTTACGCAACGGAACATTACACGGTTGCTATGTTCGACACCGTTGAACAAAATCGGGAAATCAGACAACCCTAGCGAATACCACTTGTTTTCGGAGAGATATCCGGAAAATTGCTGCAGACAACCTTGCAGTACCCTTGGTCTTCGCGCGACTGGTAGTGGTCGCGTGACAGCGGAGCGTTGATGCAGTGCACCGGTGTACTTCTGCTGCCATTCTAATCGGGGATTCCTACTCCGCTGTGAGGCGACAAAAAAGAATTGGTCCTTGTACTTTTGTCACCACCGGCATTAAAATAATGTTCTTATGATTAGCACATTCGGTGGGTACATTGCCACTCTGATGAATCCACTCTTGTTGGTTAAGGCGGTCTCTTTCTTCCATAGGTGTTCGAACAATGGGTCAGTGCTTTGCAGAAGTCCCCACCACAATCCTTACATAGTGCGAGTACCATGGACTTAAGAACGGTGACCGGAAAAAACCGTACATGAAAATTCCGCACAGTAATAAGCGTTACCGCAAAATGCGTACAAGGAAATTTCCACCGTCTGCGAATGGTGCACACAGTATACGGGGAATACGGAAATGCACTAGTTCGATCGTCTTGCACCTAAACGACTGCTCAACGTGCCAAATCCCCCATGACTCATTCAGAATACTCAACAGACAAAACACTTCTCGCCTACTACAGTTTGCCGAAGCCTCAGCGATTTAGTGGCTCTAACGCACTTGGTGTGACCAAACTGAGTTCATGAAC